CCTCCCCCGCTGGCAAGTAGACATCCCCCGAGGGCTCCCTGGGCTCCCAGAGGGATTTCTGATTCCCAGCTTAGGCCCAATCCCCCCAGGGAGCGGGCCTAACCCAGCAGGGGGTCTTCCCCCAAGGGGTCCCAGACTGCGAGAGGGCACAGCCCAGCCTGAGGGGACCCCCCCCCCCCCCCAGTGCACAAATTTTTGTGCACCTGGCCTCTAGTATATATATAAAAGGCTAATATGCAAAGTGTCCCCACGGGAGCTCGACTGGGAAACCGGGAATTCTATCACTCACTATGACATGCGCTGACCACCAGGGGGCGGTGCAGAACAAAGGAAGGCCCTGGCTGGCAGCCAGAAGGCCCCAATTGGCCCTTATCGCTGACCAGGCCTAGGGACCCTACCCATATGTGAATTTTTTGAACCGGGCCTCTAGTATACACATAAGACCTTACATAGACATATACCTTAATATAGGCATAAGAGAACTATAGAGTACCGTTTCCTCAAATAGAGAGTATCTTACAAATTGTGTAAAGTAAATAGCTATATGGAGTTTGTTTAGGCATGTTTCAAGTAGATGCGATAATCAGGGAAGCTTTTTCACAGGAAGTTGAAATTTTCCTATTGCATTAATAACTCAGTCTTTAAAATGAATAGAAGCCTCTTCTTTATGTTTATAAATTATTTTAAATGAGTATGTATTCTTTTCCAAATCAATGTGATGACTTATCTTTTGTTTACCTGTCTATATTTTACAGGGCCGAGTAGTGGAGAATATTTCAAAAAGATGTGGGGGCTTTTTACGAAAGTTAAGTCTTCGTGGGTGTCTTGGAGTAGGAGACAATGCATTAAGGTAAGAACATAACTATTGATTAACTGGTCTTCCATAACTGAAGTAAAGAAAGCACCATCTCATCTAGAAAAGGTTAAAATGGTTTTAAGCTTTTTATAAAGAAAGTTACTGCTTTCTTTAAGCTATTCTGAACTCAGAAACACATACATTGCTTATAGCACAAAGATATCCAGTAGTGGGATATAGGGTTTTGAGAATAAAACAAGAACTAGTGCCCCCTCCAAAAAAGCCAAATTCCCCATATCATAAATAGTTGTTTTGAAGCCTTGAGTAAATTTTGGGTTTTTTTGTTTGTTTTCTCAAAGTTAAGGTAATTTTAACCTTGGTTGACAAAAAGATCAATGTTAAAAGTTTGTGGTTGAGCCCAAGCTGGTTTGGCTTAGTGGATAGAATGTCAGCCCTCGGACTGAAGGGTCATGGGGTTCGATTCTGGTCAAGGGCACATACCTTGGTTTAGGATTGATTCCCGGATGGCCCTAGTTGGGGTGCTCATAGGAGACAACCAGTGTGTCTCTTTCATATCAATGTTTCTCTCTCTCTGTGTTTCCCCCTCCCTTCCACTCTTTCTAAGAAATCAATAGAAAAATATCCTCAGGTGAGGTTTAACCCTCTGCACCCGCAAAAAAAGTGTTTATGGTTGAAAATTAATTTATTTGTGATTGTGAACTACTTTTGTACCAATATTCAATATTACCAATAATATATATACGTACATATATATACATATATATACACACACACACATACACACACACACACACACATACACATACACATACACATATATTGTGCCGTGTCAGCACAGCCAAGGGTTCGGCGAGCCTGAGGGGGGCGCGGCGAAGGATGTAGAAAAGACAGAGAATAAGCTGAGTCTAGGTCAGCGGTTCTCAAACTGTGGGTCGTGACCCCTTTGGGGGTCGAACGACCCTTTCACAGGGGTCGCCTAAGACCATCGGAAAACATATATAATTACATATTGTTTTTGTGATTAATCACTATGCTTTAATTATGTTCAACTTGTAACTATGAAAATACATCCTGCATATCAGATATTTACATTACAATTCATAACAGTAGCAAAATTACAGTTATGAAGTAGCAACGAAAATAATTTTATGGTTGGGAGTCACTACAACACAAGGAACTGCATTAAAGGGTCTCGGCATTAGGAAGGTTGAGAACCACTGGTCTAGATCTTCCTGTGCCTGGCTGAGGCCATAGAGAGAGACCCAGACAGCAAGCTGAGCCTTTATTTTATAGCCAGAGGTAAACAAGGTAGTGGTCACCATAGTTACAATGTTCTTGTGAGTTTCACTTGTTTTGGCAGCACTTGCTGCATCTCCCTCAGCCCATTAGCTATCCAGGTAAGATCTAGGGAGCTCATAAGGTCAAGCCTAATTATTCTAAGAGGGCTGTGCCCTCTAAGCTGGGACTTGTTTGTGGCTTTGCCAGTAGGTCAGTCCAAGGCTTAACCCTCTAGCCACTCCCTACAATATGTATCTTTTATTACTTTTTATTTTTTTTAAATATATTTTATTGATTTTTTTTACAGAGAGGAAGGGAGAGGGATAGAGAGTTAGAAACATCGATGAGAGAGAAACATCGATCAGCTACTTCCTGCACACCCCCTACTGGGGATATGCCCACAACCAAGGTACATGCCCTTGACCGGAATCGAACCTGGGACCCTTCAGTTCGCAGGCCGACGCTCTATCCTCTGAGCCAAACCGGTTACGGCTCCTTTATTACTTTTTAAATACCAGAATTGTGCCTGTTTCATTTCAAACCTTTTGTTTTTTTTCCTGTGAAGGACGTTTGCACAAAACTGTAGGAACATTGAAGTACTAAATTTAAATGGGTGTACAAAGACTACAGACGCGTAAGTATTTTGTGTTTTAGAAGGGTAAATCATAGCCATTTGTGTCTTGCCTATAGAGGCTTTAAATGCATGCTACTAAGTACATTTAGCAAATTTCATTTTGGTATTATAAAAGAAAGATATTTTAAAAGGAAAAAGTAACATTAAAGTAGCAATGAAATAAGGCATTTATTTTGGAATCTGGTGCAAATTCTATCTTGATCTTTTAAGTGAAACTTAAAAACAGTAATCATTGAATATGCAATAGGGATAATAATGATATAAATTACTAGGACAACTTATATTTCAAGAAGATACTAGTGGCTGTCATTCAGAAGACATGGTAAACAGATAATTTTATAAAAACATGTAAAATCTTACACCTGGGACTAAACATTGTGATAATCAATATTGAGAGTATTGATTAAATGACTTTGAATGTACTGTGTTTGTATTGGTCATAATATAAAAGAAATAAATTCTGATCCTTCATCCTTGAGAGTTTATCATCACAGACACAATAGACATCAAAGGTAAACATTTTTATAGCTCAAGAATATCTATTGGTAATAACATGTATCAAATAACATTTACATATTAGATAGGGAAGTTGTTGCCTATTGTGAGGTGAAATGAAACCATTGGCGAATTACGTTTTCACAGCAAAGGGCCAGAATTATTCACTGAATTTTCCTGTTCAAAAAGTCCTCATAAAAGAGATATTTTTAGAATTGCTTGAATGAAGGAAAGTGGATGACACTCCAAGCACGGGGGAACATTATTTATTTTATTTCTTTCTTTGAGGTCACAACATTGTTCACTTTTAACATAGAAAGTATTTGAAAGACAAGGACTATGCTTATTAACAGGTATTACTCCTATGGATTGATTTGGAAATCTTTAATAGGAGAGACAATTTACTAACCCCTCCTCCAACCATTACTTTATACCAGTAGCCCAACATTTACTTTAGATAAATTACCTGTTTATTTTTTCCTTTGAATACTTAATGTAATAGAGATTAAGAATTTGACCACTTGAATACTTAATGTAATAGAGATTAAGAATTTGACCACTTGGTATCTAAAAAGTGACATATAATTTACACATTTTTCTAGGAATTTATATACCAAAGATACACTGGCAAAAATCTAATACGATTTATGTACAAAGCTATTCATTTTTACTGTTTGTAATAGCAAATACTGCATTATTTTTTTAATGTTTTTATTTTTAGAGAGAGGAAACGAGAGATAGAAACATCGGTGAGAGAGAAACATTGATTGGCTGCCTCTCACACACTCCCTACTAGGGATCGAACCCGTGACCTCCTGGTTCATAGGTCGACGCTCAATCACTGAGCCACACCAGCTGGGCACTACTGCATTATTCTTAATAGCAAATGACAGAAAACAATCCAAATGTCTATTAGTAGACATCTGGTTAAAAAAAAGGAATGAACCCTAGCCGGTTTGGCTCAATGGATAAAGTGTCGGCCTGGAGACTGAAGAGTCCTGGGTTTGATTCCAGTCAAGGACATGTACCTTGGTTGCAGGTTCCCTGGCCCTGGTTGGGTGCGTGCAGGAGGCAACCAATAGATGTGTCTCTCTCACATCAATGTTTCTCTCTGTCTCTCCCTCGCCCTTCCACTCTCTAAAAATCAATGGGAAAATATCATTGGGTGAGGATTAACAAACAAACAAAAAAACCAGGAATGAGGAGAATCTTTCTATAGTACACTGGAGTGATTGACAGAACATACTGTTAAAAAAGCAAGCTCCAGAAGAATTTGTATAATAAGATACCTTTTGTAGGGCCAGGGGATATAATACAAATATATATTCATACTTATTTTCTAGAAGAAGCAATGGAAAGGTAATCAAAAACTAATAAAAATGGTTACCTATGTGGGAGAGAGAACACCAAGAGACAGGAATGAAAGAGACTTCTGAAGTATCATGTTTTATACTTTAATAGCCATGTAAATGTTCTACATAATTAAAACATGAATTAAGCTAAAATCAAAGCAGTCCCTAACAATCAAAAACAAAACACATGAACCCAGCCATACCAAATTGAAGCTATAACCACCAGAGAGAAATTACTACTTCTGACTTTTGACTTCTTAGAACACATTTTAAGCATATGCCAAAGTAGACAAAATTGAACCCATCAGCCATCTTCAAATTGATAATTGAGAATTTATTACTTAATGGCTAGTCTTGTGTCACCTTACCCCCTCATTTATCTTCTTTTGAAAAACATCTTAGACATTATATTATTTAATCAATAAGTATGCATTTCTAAAAGTTAAAGGCTGGGTCTGTTCTTTCTATTCCTTCTGTGGTCTCCCTGGGGAAAACAACCCTCCCACACATACAGAATTTTCAGATTCGGTCAAAAATTACAACACACAAAGAAGCAGGAAATGATACTAGAAGAAGAGTCAGAAAGAAAAACCAGCCAATAGAAACAGACCCAGAAATGACAGAGATTATAAAATTGAACAATAAAGAGTTTGAAAATAGCAGTTACAAATATGCTAAAAATTTTTAAGGAAAACTTAAAGATAATATAGAGATTAAAAGGATTGGAAAAGATATACTATTACAAACACTAGTCACAGGAACGTTGAAGTGGTTATTAATATCAGCTGATGATGTAAACTTCAGGAAGAAGAGTGGATGCAAAAGATACTAAGTGGTGCCATCATCTTTCAGTAAATGATTAAATTTGTATATCAAAACCAGTAAAATTATAGAACACTTGAGCAACACTATCAGTGAACTTGTCCTTTTTTTTATATATAAATTTTATTGCGCCCCCCCCCCCCCGAACTTGTCCTAATTGACATTTATAGAATGCCATACCAAAAAGCACCAGAATAAGCTTTTCAAGTGCACTTGGAATACTCCATAATACACACCAAGTAATGGGCCATAAAACAAATTTCAATAAATTTAGAAGAATTGAAATCCTATTGAATGTGTTCTATAGCATCAACAATATTTAAGTAGAAATCAACAACACGTCTATAATAATAAAAGTGTAATATGCTAATTAGACTGGATGTCCTTCCGGAAGACCTTCCAGATGAAGCCAGGGCTGCGAGGGAAGCTGGTGCCAGCAGCTGGGGGAAGGAAGGCCTACTCTTGCACGAATTTCGTGCATCGGGCCTCTAGTATCTAAATAATGTAAAAATTAAATACCACCTTCTGAATAACCTATGGATCAAGGAATAAATTACAAAGGAAACTAGAAAATATGTTTTGCTGTGTGATAATGAAGACACAACATTGAGACTTGTAAAATGCACCAAAGGCAGTGAAGTGCTTAGGGAAAAGTGTATAGCTTTAAATACGTATACAGATTTCCCCTGCTATCTGAAAGTGTCCCTAGGAAACCTTTCTTAAGCCAAATTCATATAAAATAATGAAGCTTTGGACACCTTAAGAGATGAACAAAATAAACTGAGACAAAGCACAGATGCTCAGACATAGTTCAAAGCCAGGGTGACTTGCCCTGGCCAGTGTGGCTCAGTTGATTGGAGTGTCCTCCCATACACTGAAAGGTGGCAGTTCAATTCCTGGTCAGGGCACATATCCAGGTCTGGGTTAAATCCCTGTCAGGGTACTTACGGGGAGGCAACCAATCCATGTTTCTCTTTCTCCTTTACTCTCTCTGACATTTAAAAATGTCAGAACAATTCTTGACTTTGGACTATATAACAGTAGGTAACTGATGAGATATACTGTCCTCTAGAAAAAAAGAACAAAAGCCACATGATCATCCAGTGTGATAGGCAGCCTCTAAAAAGGCCCCCAAGTAATTCCTACCTCCCTAGTATTCACACCCTTGTGAAGGTCCCCTGCATGCACTGGACCTAATTAAGGTCTCATTTCTAACAATAGAAAACAGCAAAAGAGATTGGGTGTCACTTTGGAGGTTAGGTTACAAAAAGATTGTGACTTCTGTCTTGCTCTACTTTTTCTCAGGGCTCTGACTTGCGGGGGGAGCAGGGCAAGTTGCCCTGTTTTGAGTAGTTCTGTGGAGAGGCCCTTGCGGCTAAGAAGTGAGGTCTCTGGCCAAGAGCCAGTGAAGACCTAAAGCCTACCAAAACCAAATGAGTGAACCTCCAGTTGGATCTTCCGAGGTCTGCCAAAAGCTGCTTAAATGAGCTTGGAAGGGAATCTGTACTCAGTTAATCTTTGAGATGACTACAACTGTGGCCAATCCCTTGATTACAGTCTTGTGAGAGACCCTGAGTCAGAGGCACCCTGCTAAACTGCCTGTGCAGGTATTCCTGGCCCACAAACTCTGTGAGATAATAAGTGTTTGTTGTTGTAAGCTTCTTACTTTGGGGCAATCTCTTATACAACAATAGATAACTAGTACATCATTAGATAAGAAAGCACATGACAAAATCCAGCATCCATTCATGATAAAAATTTTCAACAAACTAGGAATAGAAGGGCATTCCCTCAATCTGGTCAAAGGTGTCCATGAAAAACTTACTGCTAGCCATCATACTTAATGGTGAAACACTGAATGCTTCACCCTAAGGCAGTGATGGCGAACCTTTTGAGCTCGGCGTGTCAGCATTTTGAAAAACCCTAACTTAACTCTGGTGCCGTGTCACATATAGAAATTTTTTTATATTTGCAACCATAGTAAAACAAAGATTTATATTTTTGATATTTATTTTATATATTTAAATGCCATCTAACAAAGAAAAATCAACCCAAGAAATGAGTTCGCCTGTCACCTCTGACACGTGTGTCATAGGTTCGCCATCACTGCCCTAAGGTCAGAAGCCAGGATGTTAACTCTTGCCATTTCTATTTAACATTCTTTTGGAGATTCTGACCAATGCAGTCCGTTCATTACAGAATTACAAAATAAAAGCCCAATAGAAGATTATATTCCATACCCACTAAAATGGCTATAATAAAAAAGCAGGGGGGGCGGGGACCAATACCAAGTATTTGGCAAAGATGTGGAGAAACGGGCCTTCATAGGTTGCTGGTGTACAGCCGCTTTAGAAAGCAGTTTAGCAACTTCTTAAAAAGTCAAACTTAGTATAGGACCTAGCAATTCTCCTAGGCATCTAGCTAGGCATCTAGCCAGAAGAAATGGAAGTATAGGTCCACACAAAAACCTAAGAAACATATCTGCCAAATAGAATGTATGGTTCTTATTTGATCAAATCAACTTGACAAAAGCATTTATGAGAGAATTGGGGAAAATTAAATATAGTGATATCAGATATTAAGGAATTAAAGCCCTTATCTATTAAAAATATGTCCTGAAATATTTACAGGTGAAATATGTCTGGGATTTGCTTTAAAATACTGGAACAAAAAAAGGAGAGAAATGGGTGAAATAGAAATAGAATATTGATAAATGTAGAAGCATAATGATGGTACATGTGCTTTCTCTGATATTCATTCTTGTGTATATTTGAAATTTTTCATAAATTAAAAAAATTAAACTGAGGCCTTGACCACTGTAAAAAGAGCCTCTAAGAAATTCATAAAGTAGGAAGTAATGTTACATAACTTGTTTCAGCCCAGCACTGGTCCATCCTCTGTATTTCTTGCAAAAATTCAATTATTATATTACTGCCGTGCAAGAGGTTAGCAGAGACAGAGCTTTCAGTCTTCATGTCTCCCCTCTTGCTAGCAGGTAGTAGCTTTCTGATGTTCCTGAATTTGCAAAGTGCATTTATCAGCACATATGCAGTTTGCTTTTAGTAGCTATTAATATTTCCAAATGTGAATAAAGCACCATCTTCCCCTCATGCAAATTCTCATACACATCACAGCCTTTTTTATCCTTTATAAAGGCCACTGGTTTTCTTCCTCAACATGAAAGGTTCCAGGATTGATAGCTGCTTTTATTGGGGGTATGGAAATTTTACAGTTCTTAAGTATGTACATGTATTTAATGAAAATCGTGTATGATATAGTAAGGATGTGTTATTATTTGTTTGTTTATTATTTTCTCTTTTTTCCATTTTTCAGTACATGTACTAGCCTTAGCAAGTTCTGTTCCAAACTCAGGCACCTTGACTTGGCTTCCTGTACATCAATAACAAACATGTCTCTAAAAGCTCTGAGGTAAATTTCTTAAGATAAGATTGTCCAACAATCAGAACAAAAACTTATTTAAAAAAATAATAACTGACATAAAGTTGAAATTGAAGGAAACTGTGTTTTATGGATATGTACAACAGTTCAGAATAGATCTTTTACCATTTGCCCAAATTATAGGACAGGTGAAATGACTAGAGGTAAGTAGGGCTTATTTATACATGAATGATTAGTTGTTTTTATGGAGGCTTCCTCCCCTCTTCCCCAAAAATGACACAGAATGTCACTTAGTGATTAAAGCAGTGCTCTGGAGTTAGGTCATTAATCAGGTACCTTGAACAAATGTAGTCCTTGTGAGTTTTTCCTTGTCATTTCAGGTTTGTTACTAGGATTAAACCGTATTATCATTATTTGATAACATTAAGCCAAACCATATAAAGTTGTCAATATTCCAGCAGCTTTTGTCTTATAAAAATGACAGTTTCATGTGTTTTAACTTAATATATATAAATTGCTTAGCATATAGTAAGCACTTAATAAGTTATTGTTTTAATGGTATTGTATTTTTAAAAAAATACATTACAGAAAATGTATCTTAAAAGGAAGGTGAGATGCCCATTCTCTTTGTAACTTTATTTTTTATCAGCCTTTTATGGTCCTATATATTGGTTACATTTATGAATAATAAGAATTAATCTACTAAAAGATTTAGTTAAGTAGAGTATAAGTAATCTAAAAATGTGGCTCCTAGACCTTCCTTATGAATATTAAGCACATATGTATCTAAGGCTGTTTGCTGTGTAGGATAATAGCATAAAATAATAACATTTAGAGTTTACAAAATATTAACATAAATGATCTCGTTTATTTCAAAACCTTGTGCGGTAGATAACCTTGTGAGGTAGATATAGATAGTGTCTACTTTACAGACAGAAAATCTAAAACTTTTTTGAATACCAGGTAATGTGATTCAACCGTGGCATGTAACTGAATAAGATATTGTTGCTGCCCTTAAGTTTCTCAGAGTCTAGTGGGAGAAAAAACACTAAACATATCATCATGTTACAGTGTGGTAATAGAAGCAATACAGTGCTGTGATAGAAGTACGGTCAGCAGTTAGGGGAAAACATAAACGTGCCTGTGTCTAATCTTGGTTAAAAGAGATTCAGGCAGGCTTCCTGAAGTGACTTGCTTGAAGTCACACTATTAATGTTGAAGAATGGGCTTGAACCAAGATCCCCTGGCTTTATTTTATAAAACAGTTAAATCAATATTTTCCAAAGAATGTCATAGAGCTTGGGATTCTTCCATAGATCATATATGAAATCAAAGTTCAAAGATAAAGCTAGTATTTTATAGAAGCCAGAGATCAAATGCAATATATTTTAAATTCAGCCTATAGAAATAGTACTCTAGATGCTTCCCAGATAAGGAATATTTATAGATCCACTGTAATTTCTTAAGTAAAAGTTTAAATGTCCTCATTAGTACTTTGATAAGTAATAGAATTATTTGATGGAGAATCTGAGTTTGACTCTAAACTTTATTAACTACTTGCTCAACTTGAACAAGTCACTTAATTTTTGTTTCCTATCTAGGGAACTTATAAATGTGTGATAAGTACAAAAAGAATATAACTTGAAAAGTATAAACTTCCGTTAAAATCTAATATATCTGGAAATAATACTGTGCTTGGTGTTTGTTAGCTAAGCTGGATTTGAGCTAGCCCTCCTAGTGATAGAGTTCCATACGAACACCACAGACATCGATAAACCCACTTTTGCGATTATGAGATTGCCGGTGTTCTAAATCTATGTTAAGTAAATATGTATATTCTTGGAAGATCATGGGGCTTATCCATTTCCCAACTAAAGGGCCAATAAAATGAGACTTTTGGTGCCTTTGGAATTGGATTTAGTCATATGTTTGTTTCATTTTCTTTTAACCAAGTGAGGGATGTCCACTGTTGGAGCAATTGAACATTTCCTGGTGTGACCAAGTAACCAAGGATGGCATCCAAGCACTAGTGAGAGGCTGTGGGGGTCTCAAAGCCTTATTCTTAAAAGGCTGCACACAGGTAATACTCTATGTAGTGCTTGTGAATGATAGAGAAACTTAAAGAATATGTAATTACAGTTTTGTGTTACTGACCAAAGACATATTTACCAAAAATTACTGTTTTCCTTAGAGTAAAAAAAAAGAGAGAGAGAAAAGAAGAAGAAGGAACATCTGACCAAAGATAAATTTTTGTTTTGAGGGGAGGCAGACTGGGGAGACAAAAATCATACTGAGAAAGCACCATAGGCAGGAAGGATTTCATGCAATTTAATCTGAAAAGAAAACTTGCGTATTGTTACTGCCTGAGACCTTGAACTAAATAGGCAAGGAAGACCATCTTGACAATTTTCACTAGTTTTTAAACCACCAGAAGCTTTTCTTAAATGTACCAAGTATACAGCAACCTACATTTTATAGTGTTGATGCTTATTTCCTGCCAGTCACATTACAAATTCAACATATTTTGTCATTACTGGAAGGCATTGGCATGGGAATAATCAAGAGTGGGTTTAGAAGTGACTGACTCTCATTACCTTATTTTTTTAATGATTACTCAAACCATTCCTTGAATTCCATTTAAAATGCCCTCATTTTTTTTCACCACGATGGGAGATGTTCCATTGTTTGAAACAGAGCTTTGGAAGTATGACTACCTTCAAACAACAGCTTGCGCTTCTGGTTATTTACGGAATCCTAAAAAATATTGATTGGAATGCATCATTACAATCAATTACTTGCCATCTGTTCTCAGCACTGTACTCATAGCACTCATCTTTCAGCAGCAGATAAACTGTGGATTCCTTTCTTAGCTCCTGCTCCCAAAAATACAGGGATTGTAGAAATGTGAAAATTCTTTTAGGTTCATAAATGCTCAGCAAAATGCTGTAAACCATATTTATCAGAAGAAAAACCCACAAACATGAGGCAATGTTTATTTTTTTCTTGATTTCATGATAATAAGAATTCTATATGATAAGAACTGATAAAAAAATAAAATGTACTGATCATATAAATTACATCTTTATGTGACCATGGTTCATTGTTCCTTTGAACAGTGGAACTTGGTTGGCTATATTTAAAATATATTGATGAATGTGTACTCTCTTAAACTTTTATCCTTTGAATTATTTTTTCTCTCTTTTTAATCTTTCTAGCTAGAAGATGAAGCTCTCAAGTACATAGGTGCACACTGTCCTGAGCTGGTGACTTTGAACTTGCAGACCTGCTTGGTAAGCTGTCCTTCCTACAGCTCTTCTGTATTACTAATTGACTTCTGTGTTATTACTGTAATAGTTTCAGTCATCAAGGCCAGTAGTTTTTCCACTTTAACCCAGGGGACACAGTAGTCAGATGATTCTTTACTTGCTTAACGATAGTCCAGGGCCTTTTTAAAAATATATTTTTTTAATATGTTTTTATTGATTTTAGAGGGAGAGGGAGAGAGAGACATAGAAATATCGATGCGAAATATCGATTGATTGCCCCCTATTGGGGATCGAACTTTCAGCCTGGGCATGTGCCCTGACTGGGAAAGTGTTCCAGTACCCTCTTGGTTCATGGGTCGACGCTCCACCACTGAGCCACATTGGCTGGGCTCTCCCAGGGGCTTTGACATGGATAAATGGGTAGTTTATTCAGAATTCCAAATTCTAAATAGGCTAACCTATAACTTCCTCCCTTTCTTTTCTATATAAGACTACTCTACTATATAGAATGAAATCATTCACAAGCTTCAGTATTTAAAATATTTTTGATAAGTTCATCGCAGTCCCATTGATTAAGATCTATCAGTAAGTCAGATCTATTGGGAACCACTGATCTAAACAGATGGCAAGCAAAATGTGCCCTTTAAATTATACTCGAATAGTATTTGCAGTTCACATATGTTTCTTTAGACCAGCCGTGGGCAAACTACGGCCCGCGGGCCGGATCCAGCCCGTTTGAAATGAATAAAACTAAAAAAAAAAAAAAAAAGACCGTACCCTTTTATGTAATGATGTTTACTTTGAATTTATATTAGTTCACACAAACACTCCATCCATGCTTTTGTTCCGGCCCTCCGGTCCAGTTTAAGAACCCATTGTGGCCCTCGAGTCAAAAAGTTTGCCCACCCCTGCTTTAGACTATCAACTTTTTTGTTTCTATCCCAAAATCCTCAATTTTACTTGAAGAATTTGCTGAAACTTCCGTATCCTGGAACATTGGCAATGCACCTTTAGCTTTTCTCTCTTGCCTTGGAAAGTACATGTGTGTGTTGCTTTGGAATGAGAGCCTCTCTTAGCAATGAAAAAAAGTTGATGAGGGTTTTCCTTGTTTTTACTAGACCTTTTGATTATTATACTCTCCCCTTCTTGTTTAATCACCTAAAACTTGAGAGCATAGTGGCTGCTTAGTTTAAAGATGATATTTTAGTTTAAAACTGTCACATTTTGTACAATTTCAGCAACTTGCCCTTCAGCCCTTAGGGGTGGTGCTTCTGCTTAGGAGGCTTCTGCTTAAGAGGCTTCTGGGGACTGAGGTAAAGAAATGACATTCTTTTCCATTCTGACCACCCCTTCCTTTTAATTCGATTGCCATAGCTGCTCATTACCAGATTTGCCTAATTTTATTCATGAAACTGACCTGAGAGAAAGAGCTTATCTAACTATGGTAAACATGAAACCATCATCTTAAAATGATAGGAAAAAACTGTTCTTGAGCGTCTTCAGATTTTTATATGCATATACACGCATACATTCTGTATATATTTGTATATATATGTTGCATATACATTTGTACATACACATATACCATACCTACCATTTACCATTGTAGTTTCATTTCCTTTACCCTTCCAGCAGGCAAAAAACACAGTTGAGAAGCATAAAGAACCAGTTCTATCATGTATTTATTTTACTGTTTCCCTTCCCCCATATATTAGGACATGAGTTACTCCTTCATCATTCCTTCCATGTGATGCTTTAATATTCATGAGACTTCATGTTCCTGCCCAAATTGAAGTGACAAAAGTACATTCTTTTTTTTTTTTCTTTTTTTAATATATTTTATTGATTTTTTTACAGAGAGGAAGGGAGAGAGACAGAGAGTCAGAAACATCGATGAGAGAGAAACATTGATCAGCCGCCTCCTGCACATCTCCCACTGGGGATGTGCCCGCAACCCAGGCACACGCCCCCGACCGGAATCGAACCCGGGACCCCTCAGTCCGCAAGCCGACACTCTATCCACTGAGCCAAACCGGTTTCGGCCAAAAGTACATTCTTGATCCATTCTCTTTTTCTTGACTAATTTAAAAACATAGAATTTTAGTAAATTTTACTTTCTAAAATGCAAAGTAATGGTAATATGACTTACTTTTCTCCTCTCCTTCCTCTGTAATTTCTTAAAGACTTCAAAACATTAAAAACAATTTATAAACTAATGTCACCTCGATAAATTCAATTAAAAAAATATATTAAAAAGGCTTGGCCAGCATGGCTCAGTGGTTGAGCATGGACCTATGAACTAAGAACCACTCTGGCTGGGCATGATTTTTTTTAAATAATTCTTTTTTGTTAAGTATTACATATGTCCCCTTTTCTCCAGCCCGACTCTGCCCCCTGCCCCAGGCCCTCATTGCCTCATTATCTGTGTCCATGGGCCATGCAGATACAAGGTCCTTGGTTGATTACCTCCCACCCACCTACCCTCCCCCACATTCCCTCGGAGATTCCAAACTCGGTTCCCTGCTTCCGTGTAACATCTGGTTTTTTTTTTCTTTTTAATATATTTTTGTTGATTTCAGAGAGAGAAAGGGAGAGGCAGAGAGGGATAGAGACATCAATGATGAGAGAGAGTCATCCATTGGCTGCCTCCTACACTCCCCTTACCAGGGACTGAGCCCACGACCCCGGCATGTACCTGACCAGGAATCAACCCACAACCTCCTGGGTCAGAGGTCAACACTCAACCACTGAGCAACACCGGCCGGACACATCTTTGTTCTTTTTAATTTTAAAATAATTTGAAACCTACAAAATTATATTTGAGCTAGACACAACTGTTTCCATAAATTAGAATATTCTTTATTAGAAAACAAAAATATAGAAATAAATGAATCTGTGGTTGATATGAGACTGCAGTTGTCATCCACGGGTGGTTTTGTTTTTTAAAATAAGTTTTTAGTAATTTAGTATCAATTTTGAACTTGTTAGTATGTTTAAACTATTAAAATACTGCCGTTTTTATTGGTTTTCTAGGTTTTAAAACCATTTAATTGAATGTACACCATGACACTCCCCATGCTGTTCCCAACTGATTAGATTAAAAGAATCCCTTTATAGCTTCTTGCCCCCGAAATGAGCACAGATTCTCTTGCAAACTAAATCAAAAGAAACTGGGAGGTTCTTTTTGGTACTTCTTTTCACAGGAGACATTTTTCCTTTTCTGCAAAGTTACTAATATCTATGGGGATTTTTTGCTCTTGTTTTTTTAGCAAATCACAGATGAAGGTCTCATTACTATATGTAGAGGGTGCCATAAGTTACAGTCCCTCTGTGCCTCCGGCTGCTCCAACATCACGGATGCCATCCTGAATGCTCTGGGTCAGAACTGCCCACGGCTTAGGTAAAATTTCTTCTCTTTTTTAAAATGCATTGGGTTTTAGAGAGAGAAAAAAACCCACAGATTTGTGTTCCACTTATTTATGCATTTATTGATTGATTCTTTATTTTCATTTTTATTTTTTTATCCTCATCCAAGGATATGTTTATTGATTTTAGAGAGGAAGATAGAGAGAAACATCGATGTGAGAGAGAAACTTCGATTGGTTACCTCCTATACACACAAAACCGGGGATGAAACCCGCAATCTAGGTGTCTACCCTGACCAGGAATCCATCCTGCAAACTTTTGGTATACGGGACGACGCTCCAACCAAGTGAGCCACCCATACACGGCCATTGGTTCATTCTTGTATGTGCCCGGACTGGGGATCAAACCTGAAACCTTGGCATAGCGGGATGACACCTTAACCAATTGAGCTACCCAGCCAGGGCAACATTTCTTGTTTAGCTTAAAAATATTGGGAAGAGAACAGAGGACTACTTCACTTGGAACCTTGAAATTTTTAAGGTAGACACCACAGGGCCACTACCCTTTTAGATGCCCTCTTGCTTTATACTTTATTGGATTTACATGTAATTGGCCTGAACCAGCGGATAATAGTCTCCATTTTTTACTTCTTGCTAGCCATACTAGAAAAAAAATCACTTTGTTTTATTACTTGAGAAAAGAAATTACGAGGCATTTTCTCTTACTAATGCTTTCATATGTAAGATGGTCCCCTGCTTACAATGGTTCAACTTACGATTTTTTTTAAATATATTTTTATTGATTTTTTACAGAGAGGAAGGGAGAGGTATAGAGAGTTAGAAACATCAGTGAGAGAGAAACATTGATCAGCTGCCTCCTGCACACCCCCCACCGGGGACGTGCCCGCAACCAAGGTACATGCCCTTGACCAGAATCGAACCTGGGACCCTTCAGTCCGCAGGCCGACGCTCTATCCACTGAGCCAAACCAGCCAGGGCCATCTTATGATTCTTTGACTTTATGATGGTGGAAGGTGATACACATAATAAATTACATGAGATAGTCAACATTTTATAAAATAAGCTTGTGTTAGATGATTTTGCCCAACTGGAGGCTAATGTAAGTGTTCTGAGCACATGTAATGTAGGCTTGGCTAAAATTATGATGTTTGGGAGGTTAGGGGTATTAAATGCACTTTTGACTTAACAATATTGTCTACTTTTGAGGGGTTTGTCTGGACATAACCCCATCACAAAGCAAGGAGTATCTGTAATTCCTTTCTGAAGAAAGTTTTTTGAAGGCCTGTCCTGTGGTCATTTATGTTGTAATAATGATGCTAGGTACATAGCAGAAAGTATTTAAAAAGAAAAAACAGCCCTATAGGAGAACCTCCTTTATGCTTATTAATGGTATTTTGGAGCAAGCCTTATTTTTTCATGGCTCCACCTCTTTGGCTAAATATTTATTAAGAATGCTGTATTGACATGCACATGGTATCAAACCCATGTTGATTCTGTAAGAGCACACAACACACTGTTTTAATCTCCATATACCATTTAAAAAAAATAAAACATTGTATTTATATATTAGACATATTAGCCATTGTTGTAAGTGATTCACAAATATTAATTTACTTAATCATCAAACACCATATAAGCCCTGTTATTATCTCCATATTATAGATGAAGAAAACTGAAGCCCAGAGAGGTCAAGTAACCTGTTCAAGGTCTCACAGCTAGAGTAAGTGCAGGAGCAAGGATTCAAACCCAGGCAGTCTGGCTCCAGAAACCACTTGTTTGACATAGAATAATCATTTATTAAACTTTTTTTGTAATCATCTGGCCATGGGCCTGACTGTAATTAGTGAAAGAAAATCTAGCTACAGTATCAAAATTCCTTAATAGATCATAGACTTGTTTGTCAAAATAAGTAATATCAGAAGCCTAGAGTAGAATTCTATTCAGGAGCTAAGGAGGTAGCCAAACTCCTGTCTAAAAATATTACCCACTAGAGGTCCGGTGCATGAAATTCGTGCACTGGGCAGGCGGGGCAGGGGGGTGTCCCTCAGCCCAGCCTGTGCCCTCTCGTAGTCCAGGACTCCTCGGGGGATGTCCGACTACCAGCTTAGGCCCGGGATCCCTCTTGCAGTTTGTGACCCCTTGCTCCTTACCACCCACCTGCTCGCTGCTCCTTACTACTCCATTTGCTGCTCCTTAGGACTGCCGTGGAGGTGGGAGAGGCTCCCGCCACTGCCACTGCACTCGCCAGCCTTGAGCCCGGCTTCTGGCTGAGTGGTGCTCCCCCTATGGGAGTGCACTGACCACCCGGGGGCAGCTCCTGTGTTGAGAGTCTGCCCCCTGGTGATCAGTGCACATCATAGCGACCTGTCATTCCGCCATTCGGTCGATTTGTATATTAGGGTTTTATTATATAGGATTCCCTTTTTAAAAAAAATTATTGATTTTAGAGAGGAAGAGAGAGGGAGAGAGAGATAGAAACATCAATGATGAGAGAGAATCATTGATCAGCTGCCTCCTGCACGCCCCTCACTGGGGATCGAGCCCACAACCCGGGCATGTGCCTTTGACCGGAATTGAACCTGGGACCCTTCAGTCCACAGGCTGATGCTCTATCCACTGAGCCAAATCAGCTGGGGCTTACCTGGTCCCTTTTTGTTTTAAAGAGAGGGGCCTTCAGCTTCCTCCTCTTTCGTGTTTTATCTTATTGTTAGAACAGAAAGGCTCTCAGATGTGATACTTCAATCAGTTCATGTTGTTCCATTAGACACAGCATTCACTTCTCTTTTCTTATCTTTTTTATTTTTGTTTTTTTATATTTTTATTGATTTCAGAAAGGAAGGGAGAGGGAATCATTGATCGGCTGCCTCCTGTACATCTCCTATTGGAGATCGAGTCGCAACTGGGCATATGCCCTGACCTGGAAGCGAACCTTGACCTCCTGCTTTATAGGCCGACACTCAATCACATAGCCACACTGGCCAAGCTAATTTATCTTTATTGTTGAAAGTATTACATATTGCCCCCTTTTTCCCCCCATTGATTCCCTCCACCCCCTCTAGAGATTGTCACTTGATAATGATTTCTTATACTTCTGTAAGTAATTTGTAAGCAAACATAAATATTCTATGGTACCATAGTGCAGATGCCACCAAACTTTTCACAGAAAAGCTATGTTTGACTTCTCAGTCCTGTGGTTGGTATTTAGGTTGTTGTGTAGCAGTTCCTGAATAGGTCAGTGGCTGCCAGCTCAGCTCCCCTCTCCACTGGCCTCCCTGGGAACATGTGGGAGGAGCCAGGAAACATAAGGTTATTTTTTCATAAGTATGGAATTTCATGTTTGGGATAGGCCTGTAATTAACCAGTCCTTTTATAACATTTTAAAAATCTATCTAAATCTGAGTGGGCCTACATGTAAAATAGGAAAAGAGAATAATTTTCTTTAGCAACAGATTAACAGAGTACCATGTCCATTTCCCTTGTTTTCTAGAAGCAGGCTGTCCTCTGGGTGCAAGCAATATGCCATCAAAAGCCTTTTCATTTATTTTATTTTATTATTATTATTATTATTATTATTTTGCTTGTTCGTTGCTTTTCTTCTTTTTTAAAATAATGCTTTATTGTTGAAAGTATTATATATGTCCCCTCTTTCCCCCCATTAACCCCCTTCAGCCTGCCCTCCCCCCTCCCCCCCAGCCTTCAGCACTCTATTGTCTGTGGAGAAGTCTTTTAAATGCATTTTGGCATTAACTACAAGCTTCTCTTACATTCTTCTGATTGCATAAGTCTGCAGTGTTGTATTTACAGGACCACTTTATGATGACTTCATGAATATGATTAGCAAGATCTCTATACAGACTTGCTTAGCTATTAATGTCATTATATTATGTAGTCCTTAGGGACTAGGAGGTTGTTTTCTTAAATTCTTGCTGTTTTAATAAACGTGGTTTTCAGGGACCAAGGACTTTACTTTCACTTTGGTTTTTTTAACAGAATATTAGAAGTGGCAAGGTGTTCTCAATTAACGGATGTAGGCTTTACCACTCTGGCCAGGGTGAGTATTTTCTCCAGGTTCTATGTAAGTTTTGTTTGGGATTTTTATTTTGGAAGAATGAGCAAGGATGGAGATGTGGAATGGCATTAGAACTAAGGGTGTGTGGGGTGTGGGGGAACTTCCCTGTGGCTGATGTTCCAGAGCGTTCTCATGCCACAGCTACTAGCTTGTATAATTATAGTATTTAAAATTATAACTGTCTTTGACCAATGTATGGAACAAGGGGAAGGACCTTTGCTTTCAGGCAGATTGATATTGAACACCACTTAGTTTTCTGGCCTTAAAGTTTCCCCATATTTTAAATATTTGTATTGTAATGTTTGGTTTTGTGTTTTATAGAATTGCCATGAGCTTGAAAAGATGGACCTGGAAGAGTGTGTTCAAGTAAGATTGTGGATTTTTACTCAGAAGTACAATATAATAGAAACTTATGTAACATGCACACGAGAACATTGGCTTCCCTCCCCTGTGTAACGCAGTGTCTGGCAGCACTGCTGGCTCTCCACTGCTGACTCTCCAGGCACACCTAGCAGAGGACTCATGGTATCTGTGTTCAGGGGAAAATGTATGTCATCAGTAAGGTTGCCATTGGAAAGGAAGAAAGCCCATTCAAGCCATAAGATATTTCCTTAGACCTACAGGGTTTTGATATTAGTAAATAATTAAAGCCCCATCACACTGATAAATAGCCCTGCCCTTTTTAGCTTAACTGGACGCTGGACCCCTTAGCCCTAGAGACCTGAGTCTGTATGGAGCCCTGTCCTTCAGGCAGGTAACCAGATACTTCCTTAATAGCAATATCTTTTCTTACCAATTTTAAGAGCTTTGAGATTAGTTGATTGAGGAGAAACTTTGATGGGAGACTCCTAAAAAGAAGATAGAATAATGAATTTTATTAATGGTCAAAATAAAGAAGATACTTGGGTCTATTGAGGTCAATTTTTTCTAAATTACTTGTTATCCGACACTACTTAGCAGCTATTACTTCTTAAACTGAAATTTGTTTCTGTCCGCTTATCTCTTATACATGCTTAGTGTCCTTTCCAGTATTAGTCCTTCTGAGTGATGTGCACACACCTGTCTGCTCCAGTCCCCACCCCCTGACATTCTGTATTAGAATAATATAATACCTCAGATTTGGAAGAATTTGAAAAGAAGCACTGATTTACTTTTTGTCCTAAGATAATTATAAAAGACTGTTTTTCCTTTTAGGAGTTTTTCCTTCCTTAATGTTAGTAGGTAACCCAGATTCCAGCAGCCCCTTTGTGCCACCTTTGGGAAGATAACTGGCACCCAAAAAGATAACATTAATCTTTTTTCATGGAGCAGTATCTTCCTTGTTGTTTTCTGTGATGGTTTTAAGGAGGTAGAACAAAGTATAGTGGGTAGAAGTTATGAGGAGACAGATTTTCATTCATTTAAAAAACAAAACAGTTTTCAACCAATCTGCTCAAAGATGAAGACTAGAGAATACTAGATATGTTCAAGCCTAGTTTCTCAAAGAATGATTCAGGTATCCATTGGGATATCAACCTCAAGATTTTGTTATTTGAGAATTGATATCAGGATATCAGTCTAGATTACAAGTATAGTCAAGAGTGAGGTACGGGCCATGAGTTTTTTTTTCTTGGAATTATACCTAAAATAAGCTTATGTGTTTCTTTCAGATAACAGATAGCACCTTAATCCAACTTTCTATACACTGTCCTCGACTTCAAGTATTGGTGAGTGTGACTCTGAAAATTTTATGTTTACCAGATTTAAATACTGATTTTAGAGAGAGAGGAAGCGGGGGGAGAGACAAAGGTAGATTGGTTGCTTCCTGTCACACTCCGTCTGGGGACTGAACCTGCAAACAGCATGTGCCCTGACGAGGAATCGAACTGGCCACTTTTCCGTGCATGGGATGACGCTCAACCAACTGAGCCACACCAGCCAGGGCTATTTATTATATTTACATTTAATCAAAGCCCAGCTCTTACTTTCCTCTTGGTTACTGGCTACCATTTTGGGAAAGCATATTTCTCCAAATTGTCAACTTACAGAGGACCAAGAGAGGAATTAAGAAATGTTAAATGTTTTCTTTATCAATACTTGGAAATTGAAAACTGACGTGGAAAGTATGAGTTCTCCCTCCCACTTGAACTCCAACCTGAATGGTGTTAAAATTTCCAGAGGTCCTGGGAGTTGATGGCCAGAAATACAGTTTGCTTCACCTTCAGACCAAAACAGAAGCAATCAAGGCTTTTACTAGGGAGAATTCTCTGTTACTGTTCCTTGTAACACTATGGGAAAGAAAGCATTCTGGTTAACCATTCTTTTTTTAAAATATATTTTTTTGTTACTGATTTCAGAGAGGAACGGAGAGGGAGAGAAAGATTGAAATATCACTGATGGAGAGAGAATCATTGATCAGCTATCTCCTGCACACCCCACACGGGATTTGAGCCCACAACCCAGGCATGTGCCCCAATTGGGAATCGAACTGTGACCTCCTGGTTCATAGGTCAACGCTTAACCACTGAGTCATGCCAGCCGGGCATGGTTAATCATTCTGTATCTAGGTTCATTTTTGGTGTATTTGGTGGCACCTTGCTATCCAAATTGGGTCAAGGGTTCTGAGTTTCACGTGTAGGAACCAGGAACTTAAGGAAAATTGATACAGTGAAGAGATTTATATAAAGAGATAACTATATCTGACAGCTATCAGAATCAAGTTCATTTAATTAACTTGGCATCCCCCTGTACCAGGTAATCAATATGTAGTCCAAATTCTAGGAATTTTTGTTCAGGAAAAGCTTGAGCCCCACTTGTCCCTGTAAAGAAGAAAAGTGTTCATTTGTGTGTATGGGGCGGGGGGGGGGGGGGGCAAATAGGTAGCATTTTATTTTGTTTATGAACTATTTCATAGTCATTACATAAATTCACAAAGTATATTTAGAATCAGAAAGAGAAATGTCTATCATTGATTGTCAAAAGCAGTACCCCAGCAACTCTAATTTGCTTTCTTAATTTGCCACATGGATCTAGTGATGGTTCCTTATGCATCAACATCAAACTAGAAAGGTTTCTCTGATGGTACACAGGCCTCTTGCTGGAAGAATGCCATAAGATATGTCAGTGTCCTCCCTTGCTCTCTTTGGCTGCAGAGTCTGTCTCACTGTGAGCTGATCACAGACGATGGAATTCGTCACCTGGGGAATGGGGCCTGCGCTCATGACCAGCTGGAAGTGATTGAACTGGACAACTGCCCACTAATCACAGACGCATCCCTGGAGCACTTGAAGAGCTGTCACAGCCTTGAGCGGATAGAACTCTATGACTGCCAGCAAATCTCACGGGCTGGAATCAAGAGACTCAGGGTAAAGATGGCTGCCTCACCCTCCAGCTCTAGTGTTCTCACCACCCTTTCTTTTTCTTTTTTTTAGGTTTAGATTCCTTTGATTTTTAAATTTACTTAGACATTTAGCAAAGATGGGAGAAATGGAAAGCAAACGTACAGGAAGATAGTTTCAGGTGGAAATGTAGTAGGAAAATACCCACTGAGGGAAGAAAAGTAGGTCTCCTCTCAGCAGTTTCTCCAGTAATGTCCAGAGTTTAATAACATGCCTGGAGTCAGACGCATATGCCACATTTTGGTTCTAAAGGAAAGAAAGGAATAACAAAGAAAATATTTAATTAAATAGGATTTAAATTTTTAATTTATATTTTCTTTCATATCAACCCCTCTTGCTGGGATTTTTATTTATTTATTTCAAAATATGCTCATATTGATTTTTAGAGAGAGGGGAAGGGAGAGGGAAAGATCGAAGAGAGAGAAATATCATTGATCGGCTGCCTCCTATACTCCCCCACTGGGGATCTAGCCCTCAACCTGGCATGTGCCCCGACCAGAAATTGACCTTTTTGGTTTATAGGTCCGTGTTCAACCACTGAACCACACCAGCGAGGTGGGATTTTTTTTTTTAAGACAACAAATGGATCAAGTAATTTTTTCCCTTTTTTTGTTTGCGCAACCCCCCCCACCCCCACCCCCCCCACCCCCCGCCCTGTAGTAGAGAGACCCATGCATAGCCAAATGACTGGAAGACAGGTTGCCAGCAAGGAGGTTATAAAAGGCTGAACGGATCTATATATTAGATTATTCTGCTCAAAAGACATTTATTGGAACTTCTGCTTCACACCTGCTGTAGGAAAGGCACTGTGCTTGTTATCCCTTATAGCCAACCTCTAAAAACTCCATGTTGACCATATGGCACCTGAGCACATAAAGGAACACCAACCTCATCTTGATTTTCTCTTGGCCTCAGCTCCTCCTCTCCCTTCAGCCCTAGAGGACTGAGAGCATAGCTGCAGTGGGGAGTCCTTGCAGCCGTATTTCTTCTACACCAAAGAGGAGAGCCACAGGTTATCAGAAGAAAGACTGTCCACAGTGACTTGGGAAAAAAATCTTAAGCTTATTTCAACTATGGAAATATAGTTTATTTCAACTATGAGAATCAAACTAGAAATCCCTTTGGGAACAGGTTAAGAAATGAATATGAAGTTTTTCCCCACTTGTATTATTATGGAAGCAGGGACCAAGGTTATGTGAGCTGATTTAGTCATTTAGAGTAACGTGGGATGGTACAGAGTAGAACCCAGGCCTCTCCAACATCTAGTTGCTGGTGGTCGGCCTCTGCCCTGCTTTCATGGCCACTCAGTGTTTGTTCTGAAAAGCAACATTGCTCTTTCTGTTTAAGCCCTCTCTCTCAGTAATGTTTCTGTCTTGTTTCAGACCCATTTACCCAATATTAAAGTCCACGCCTACTTCGCACCTGTCACTCCACCCCCATCAGTCGGGGGCAGCAGACAGCGCTTCTGCAGATGCTGCATCATCCTATGACAGTGGAGGTGGCAGCCGTGGCGAACTGAGTATTTAATGACACTTCTAGAGTTACCGCGGAGTCTCCAGTGGAAGCGACCCAGTGTTTCTGGGCAAGGGTTACAACGTGAGGCAGCGTCCAGATTCCCAGAGCCACACGTACATATACATACCCATCCACTCTAGCTCTGTGACGGGGGACTGAAGATTGTGCTGGCTTTATCAAGTGGATTGATAAAACTTAGCCATTCCTGTTGGACGTTCCCAGAAGAAAATCATAGGCAAGGTAGGGGGAAGGGGTTGTTCCAGCAAACCCAGTGTTAACTGCTACTACGGTTTCTTTATTTTATTAAGGGGTTTATTTGGTGATATTGGAACAGCAACTGCAGTCCTCCAGGGTCAAGGAAAGCATAGAGAAAAACAATATACGTTGTATCCAGGGACCAGAAAGAAAATTTCTTTGCATCCTATAAATGGTAGCCATCCATTGTGAGATGACTATACAGCTTCTGTGCTTCCTCGTTCCCATGCCAACATGCTGAGCATGCTCACAAAGAAGGCTCCTCCATTCCGCCTCCTGTTTAGTATTTGGCCCAGTGGTTTCCTAAATGGTCACATTGAAATTACTGTGGTCCAAATGTGATTACTTATTCACTCAAATTGTCACTGTCTGTAGCACACTGTGCACCTGTTGTCCTTTGTTGCTCCCTCCTGCATTCTTGCCCAGTCTGTCACCTGTTCATAGTCTGCTTACTCACACTCAATTGTTACTCTCTTGCTGTTGTTGTGTTTACAGTTTGCATTTTGGATGATTAGTTGGGGTTACCAAACATTTTTAAAAGAGACATTATCAATAAATATTTTTTTAATTCTAAATTTTACCATTAGGGGCCCCTGCCTGAATCTTTGCCAGTCTGAAGGGAAACAATTATAAAAGCAAGAAAAGTTATGAGAAGAAATTAAGCTAAAACTATTTTGATGATAGTAAACTTTGCTTTTTGGTTTCTGTTACATCTTGTGATACATGATAATATGCATGATATGCCCAATACTCCCTGCACATTTTTCCTTCCATCAGGCTCTGCTAATTTAATGAGGTGAACAAAACGCATTATTAGTAAAGAGTGGGATGGCAAATCCCAAAACTGAGCCTGGACACCCCCCACCCACACTCAGGCACGTTGTATGTTCACTGAAATCTAGGTGTGATCAGTGACATCTCTGATTTGTGTCTTTGGGGTTGTTTTATTTTAGCAGAAATGCTACTAGAGGCACTGTGCCATCTAGCTAATCAGTGTCTCTCCCCCACCCCTATTTCAGCCTGTCAGGGACCCTGTAAAAGCTGGTCAACTGTATGAGAGTGTTGATGGTATCATATTTAATATCGGAGCCTCAAAGGACTGGAACCTGTCAGCCGTATCTCCTGTTCTCCAGACCTCCCATGAATGAAACACAAGAGTAGCCAGGTGAAGGGACTGGGGCAGCAGAAAGAGAACATTGAGAGGAAGAGGAAGTAGGGGTCTCAGTGCCTCTGCCCAGCCTGGTCATCAGAGCTGAGGGCTGGGAGGGTATTCAGTGCCCATGACTCAAAGATGCTTCCCCTCCCCCCACACACACACAAAATCCTGCAGAGTGAGTTAAATGAGTTTCTAAAGTACTAGAAGTAGGTTTCTAAACCCCAAGGTTAAAAAACCATGTATGATTTTTTTAAAATAGGATGACTTTTGTAAGAATTACGTGTGATTTATTCCTTCACATAAAGGATCCCATAAATGTGTACAACCCACCAGTATTTAATGTTACATTTATTTTAAATCCTATTTAATTATTCCCTTTTAAAAACTAAAATTGTATTTTTTAATTCCCCCTTCCCCTTTTCAAATTACAGTGTAAGGAATATACTTTTTAAAGTGAGACTCACTCTCCTGGCTGTACCCCACACTTATAAATATATACATGTGCACACACACTTCCAGATGTAGTTCATAATATTCAGATCCCCAGGTCACTCATTCAAACAAAACTAAAAAGAACTATTTAGGGCCCATCTGCTCTAATGTATAATTTTTTTTATAATGCCTGAACAAATTGGCCATAAAACCCTGATTGATTAGTGAGTGTGGATTTGAATTGCCCAATAGATGAGGCTATTAAGGGTACTTCTTTACTTTAAAAAATATATATATATATATTTGTTTAAAAGATCCTACTCACCAGTACATGAGTGTCTTGGAAATGCTGTTTCTTTCCTCAAAGAGTGTTCCCACGTGCAGGTCCATGTGGACTTGCGCAGGCAACCCCTGCCTGTCTGGGCTGAGAACAGAGTGGAGTGAGAGGGTAAAAGCCTGGATGTGCAGCAGTATGTGGTCAGGCAGGAGGCTGTTCCTTTCTCAAGAAAACTTCAGGCCCATCAAGCTTGGAATGAAATATTTTTTTTATGCCAGTCTGCAACCACGCCAGCTGATGAAATGTACCAGGACTGAAAACCCAGAACATGGTAAGTTTTGGTCAGGTGGACAGGGTCCTGTCCCCTGGACACAGTGCTTCCTGTTTCAACATCAGGAACACTTTTGAAAAGTCAGTAAGGTTTCACAGGTGTAACTCTTCCGTAGGGAAAGCTTATTGTCTGGCTGCACAGCCCCTCCACAATATGCCTTCTGTAATGAAAAGGTGCAGTGCGAAGAGAGGAGATTTGGGAGAAGGAAGAAGGTACCCTCAAAGGTATTGCCGTAAACCTGCCGATAGCCAGGAGGAACTATTGCAGTCCTCTGGCGAAAGTTATTCAACATCCAGATCATCTTTTTTCCAAGCAGCCTTTTCTCCCCTTACATTTCCCAGCATCATTTGCTACATCAGTACCTTTTATATCCTCTTCATTGGCCCCATCAGCTTTTTTTTTTTTTTTTTTTTTTAATCGTCACCCAAGGATATTTTTTCCATTGCTTTTCAGAGAGAATGGAAGGAAGGGAGTAGGGAGAGAGAGACACACATAGATTGGTTGCCTTCCACACATGCCCCAACAGGTCTGGAGATCAAACCTGCAACCCAGGTACATACTGGGAATCAAACCCTCGACCCTTCCATGCATGGGGCAGCACTCTAACCACTGAACACACTGGCCAGGGCCCAGCTTATTTTTTTTGTTGAATTGACGCCTCCCATTTTCTCCTACACCCATCCTCACTGTCTGTTTAAAGCCTCCATCTCACTCCCAATGATGCTACTGATTCTGAAATGTCTCCAGTCTAGCTTCCACTTTGGGTCCTTATCCTGATCGAGGCAAACCATCTGGGCAGCCTTGAATCCGTGACTGTCAGTGGCTCAGGCCATTTTTCACCAGATGGTCTTTGAGGGTGGTCTTTGACATTGGCTTGCTGAATTAGAAATCAAACTTGGATATGAGCGGAAAAGGGATCTGGCTTCATTTTTTTTTCCAATATTTGGAATATGAAAGCACATTGTACTTCATGTAAAAAGTTTTCTCCTGTTCTGCTCTCTAGTGGATGTAAAAGTATTTCTTAAATGTTTTTGTGTGTATGTGTGTGTATTTCCACATTCATGAGTTAAGCTGATTCAGCAGACATATAAATCAGAAATTTCATATATTCCTTAGATCACACATTTTAGAGAGAAACCTGGTAAATGTTTTTATGATGCTTTATTTTGGGTTTTCCAAACCGAACAGTTCAATGTAGCTATAATGCTACAGCAGTCAAGTGCTTATGTTCTAATTGCCTTGTAAAATGCATTGTTACTGGTTTAATAGCCCACTAATGCCATGGGGGCTACACAAAGTATGCCATGGAGCCTATCTTGGTTTGAAGTTTTAGGAAATGCGACAGTGTTATGGGAAAGAAGAGGGTGGCTGCCTGCCTGCCTGCCTGTATTGGCAGCATGTCCTTAGGCGACCCTGTTGTTTTGAAAAGGAGGAACACTTGCGGATCACGGTTGCAGACCCTTGGCCGATTAATATTTATTGTGCTGAAAATCACAGACTGCTCATGACAGTCACCACCAACGAGAGAGGAAAATGGTCTAGTCTGCCTTTTCCCTGCTTGTGTGCATACTTTAAGGTTAGATTTCTATCCCTATTGTGCATCCTGGCTGACACTCTTTCCGTGGTATGCTTTGAGCTTCTGGAACATTCTATAAAACGATTGCCTTCTCTAGCTGCCCACCAGTTCTAGGATCTTTAACCACCTCAGACCAAAACAATGTGAATTAGCCAAGTTTTATTTTAGAAGAGGTTTAGGATGTTTGGTTGGTCTTTAAGCAGAGCCTGTCCATCCCCCTTACCATGATTATGATCTGGGACCAAAGAACCCTAAAGCAGTAGGAGGGTGAGGGGACATATGGAGTCTCAGCCTTTCCTCACCTTTATTTCCATCATAAATTTTAATTGTAAGATTGAAAGACACAAAAGACTGTGAAAGACCGTGTCAATCGTGTATAATTAACCAGGTAATAAAGTTGGGCTGTATTTGCTATACCCAGGTGCCCTGACTTACCATCTTGGTTCTCTAGCAAACACATGCTTCTCTAAGCTTGCCTTTTTACTTGGGACCTTCTTCCTGCCAGACACTACCGTTTGAGGCAAGTGAGTTTTCTGCATGAAGGGCTTCTGCACTTCCCTCCTCAGGCAAGTCTCCCTATTTTGTCCATTTTTATTCTTAGGCACATCAGTTGTACATTTCTGAAGCCTTTGGTCCTTAGGAAAGTTAATAAAAATCTCTCAGCTAAGTCTGAGCGGATCTTTGGAGCCCAAGAGAGTTACACTCAATTTTCAGTGGAAAAACATGTGTTGGACAAGCTCACATGGGGGATGTTAAGAGAAATTCCATAGTGCACTTCTTCCGTCCCTGCTGCGTGTGCTTTTTGAGTAAGCCCCTGGTAGGGTTCGATTCCCAGGTGCTGAGGATTAGTGCTTGCTCAGCCATGGTAGTTCACTGCCCTTTAGGAAAAAGAAGCATGAGCGACCAGAATTGTATCAATTGACCCTGTGTATTTTCTCTGTTTTTCAGTGTCTTGTTTTGAAGAATTGGGGTGGGGAAGTGGTAGGTAAGATTCAAAGTAAAGGAGAAAATCAGTTCTGGAATGTGGGGTACTTTGCTTCAGGTACAAGCATCTGTCCTGAATATGTAGGAACACCTGCTTCACATGTGAGTAGATTTACTTTCCTCTCCATCTAATGAACTCCAGGCCCTTTTTCCTTCTGCTTCCCACACACACCTAACCAGAGTCATCCAATGGGGATTGGCACCACTGAAAGAAACCCAGGGCTTCCCAGCTGCTCTGGGCACGGTGTTCGCCAGGGCAAGAGCAGGTAGGCAATGCGAATCCCCACCCAGGAAGAGGTGGGAGGGAAGAGGTGTCCAGACACATACCTTTTCTCTCCTGCCATACTCCAGGAACCCAGGGGAATCTTTGAAGTGATGTCTTTTATATTAAAGTGGAAGAAGAAGTTTGCCCCACTAAATTTCGCTTGTCATTGTCTCTTACTACTGTTTCTTATTCAGATCCGTACCACACTGCTGTTTCACACACGTGTATGTGGTTCTTATCTTAGCCTAACTCTTCCCAAGCACCAGAAGTCATTATTCTGTTTTTGTTTTTTTATGGCACTAGTGAATGAGAACCTAAAGTCTTAGAAAATCCTAACTTGAAAAGGAGTCTCTAATCGGCACGGTTTGATTATTTTACCTTTTCCCCCCTAAAGACTTGAATGATTTTCTTTCCTAGTGCTGTGATAGATCTGTAATAAGTGAAACCTTTGCTGCTATTTTCCTGGGTTTACAACAGTTTTCTTCTTCCCTTAAGAATAATTTATCTGTGTTTCTCTGATGACTGTTAATTTCTAACAAGTGCAGGAGAGGTGAGCCTGACATTTCTTCTCTTACTCCCCTCCTCACCCTACCCCCAAGTTACACACTAACCTCTACAACCTCTGTGGGATGGGGTGCCTCTCTTGGAGCTGGCTCCTGAGGCTCTGTGGCTGCCAGCACTGAGGGTT